GAACGTTCCTAATCTAATTGCATTCGCCATCAGTTGTGTTGAACGGTCCCTAGAAATGCACATAATCAGTTTGGATCATCAACATGTACCATTGATTACCCTTCTGATAACCCCAAGAGCACGTTTAATTACACGGATACTCCATATAGAGGCTCTGAAAAGACTCAGTGGGTGCAACCAGAAACAGGATGAGTCCATCAACCAGTTCATCCTGCTTCTCTGCAAGCTTGCACTTGAATCTATGCAGGACAGTCCGTATTCGCAAGTTGAAGACGTTTTCCTTCGCAAGTTTCTGCAGGGAGGATTTTAACTTGCACACCGCAGAATCAATGGAAGAAGCCTCGGAGAGCCGGGAACCACATGCTAACGAGTCAACGTAATGGGCTCTCGGTATAGAACACCAGAATATACACGGAGACCTGCACCACAGTGGAAAGGACGTCTGCATTCACAAAATTTCGCAAGAGACGATCGATACTTCTGGAGGCATCTTGAGTAAGCTTGCTAGGACTTTTGGGCACAACACAGGTAAGTCACATGTCGACATAAAATGTGTACCTACTATTAACCTAATCGGTGCCAGTTCCTCGAAAGTTGTAGGACATGTGGGTAACAAAAGGCCTGTGATGTCTGTTAATTCAGAGGCAACTTCTTCAGTTATACAATACCCATGTGTTCCATAGACTTTTAGACCAACAATAGGGACTAACAAGCTGCTGCTTGCCACAGCCGCTGGAGACTGCATGCAATCACAAAGAGTAGTCCCACTACATCCCAGATGGCAAAGAGCCGACACAGATAAAACCGACAAAAGATGGTCAAGGAAGCCTCACTGCCAAACAGAAGATATGAAGGAGGCAATGGGTTGGCCACTTAAAAGAATCTTCAAACCAACTATCACCTGCAGCCCGTCCAGAAATACCACCAACCGCCACACAACTGCCAGTAGACAACCATTCCCCAACAAAAGCAGAAGTCCTAAATGAAATCAAGTCACTGAGTGCGGGGGAGGCAGCAGGACCAGACGGAATTCCTCCGGAAGTGCTGAATGGTGTCCAAATACCCCAGCAAATATGCTAACACCGCTACTGCGAACGTTTTGGACGGGAGAAGAGGTACCTGACGATTGCAAGAAGAAGGCCTATCTTGTCAGTCCACTAAAGAAGTGTGACAAAAGCCTCTTCAAAAATTTGTGCGGTATCATGCTCTTGTTTATTTCAGCTAAAATAACAGGCAGTGTCGTCCTGGATAGACTAAGAAATACACTGGATGCAGAAATCTGACCGGAACAAGATAGATTCAAGGAAAGGAAATCATGTGAGGATCAGGTCGCATCATAATTTAAAAGAGCGTAGATTGCTAGTCAAAACTCTACCTCAACCTAGTCGACTTCTTAAAGGCCTTCGAATCCGTTGACTGAGAAGTAATTTGCAGACTACTTCAACAGTATGGAGTGCTCCAAACATTTATCAGCCTCACTCAACAGCTATATGCGATTCCATTGTGGGTAACTTGATATGATTATGAAGAATACATTGTGCACAAAACGTGATCAACAAAAACTACAACAATGTGAAACTTTGCCACAATAAATTTCACTCACAATTGAAATATACTCTACCACAGTGCACGAGTTCTATTTTTATATCAATGAGCAATATGCAATACCACATGCCAACTGATCCACGATAGAAAATTCATCGAAGCTTCTTATTATAGATGGGAGTAAGACAAGGCTGTCTATGATCATTGATAACATTCATCACTGTGCTGGGCGAGACTACGCGTCAGACTATGCGTGGGAGAGACAAGACAGGAATGCGTTGGAATGTCCAATGAGAAGACTCTAGAAGATCTGAGTTCCGCGTGTGGGTGATTTATGTTTAATGTCACACAAACTCGAAAGCTTACAGGTAAATACCAGTAATTTGGCAGAAGAAACAGGAAGTCAAAACAGGAATTCAAGTGAACACAGAAGAGACGGAGGCGATGAAGACAACCAGCCAACAACAAACACCAATCAATACCAGCGGGGAAATTTGAACTAGGTCGATTCTTTCACTTAACGAGGCAACATTGTTTCAACTACAGGCAAGCGGCACAGATAAGGATGTCAAAACCGAAATAGGAAAGACAAAAAAAACCTTTATCACTCTGAAATTTGAAAATTTAATGCACTCAACACACAGAGCAGACTTTGGATTTTTAACACCAATTTCAATCAGTCATTTCCTTTAAAGGTTCAGAAATTTGTACTGCGCCCGTCGAAAAGCATTCACAACAAGCCAATGAAGATTTTTATCATTAGCTACCTTCTCTGGCTGCATAATGAAGATCAAATGGTTGACCAGGAAGAAATGACATCAAGAAACTCTAGAAACTAGCCAATCAAGAGCCTACTGCTCAACAAATATACTGAAGAAAATGGATATGGATTGGGTCTACACCAAAGAGACCATCGAGTAACACCTCTAGCCAGTCCTTCATGTGGAGCTTGAATGTGAAACGACGAGTTGGTTGCCAAGTTTTATGTTCTGTTTATTATTATTGTAACTACTCCCACACTGTGACTGAATACTTAATTTTTCCTGCTATGGACTGGTTGGTAACATATAATCTGTATGATTTCTTCCTTTCACACTTTCTCTATACTCCACAAGTGTTTTTGTTTCATGTCACGTGTATTGCCAAATCACAACATTTGAGTTCACTGAGGAACATGAAGAGCTAGTAAGGTCTGCCTTTACGCAACTGGGTCAGTTCAGTTGCTCATCACTGTCAAAGAAAGGAGAGTATACAGTTGTCAATTTCTATTACCTCCATGGCGACGAAATTGAGGAATCGTATAACCGAAAACTTATAGGTAAAGATATCAGGCCATTCTACAACCATGTAGCATGCGCATCCTGTCATACCTATAAATAGCATTCCTATCTACTACATACTGAATCATTTTTTGTTCGACTTGCCCCATTTCGATGGAACTGAAGCTAACACATTAAGAAAACTACAGCCAAATGCATGGTCTCCAAACAGTGTCACTGAGGTGCGTTTTCCGCGCGCCTTCCCTACGACTTACTGCTCAGTCATCTGGCATCTAAAGGAACTGTTTTTGTCCAAAACCTACGCAATGAACACATAAGCACTCCAATGAAAATCAATGGCACATCATCCGACAAGTTCAGAGAGGAGACAGTGTTCAAACAGAAATATTTCCTTTCGATAGTCAGCACACCTGGGGATAACCAGTCAACAAAATGTAGGAAAGACATACTTATATAAAAGCTCCATAAATTTGAGAGGCCAATTCAAAAGACTGCTTTTGAACTCCCGATAACCTCTTCTCAATTTAAAGTACATGGCTGGCTATAATATAGGTGGTATTCATCGAATTGGGCCAAAAGACATTTGTAATCTTTTCAATCAGCACGACATTGCAAACGTTTTCCGTATATATGAACGGCAAATAACTGTGAGAAAGAAATTTTTATGATAAGTCTTAAGCAAAGTTGAAATAATATTTAAATTATCCGACTTCAAAACTTCAAGATGTGTTGAAGTCAGTCGTGTCAGCACCATCAGGCCCAGTGGAAAGTGTGAAGACAAAGCTTGATTTACGTTTTTGAAAAAATAAATGAAAGCTTCGTATAGGTTCACCTGTGGTGGCGAATAATCAACAGTAAGCGAATTCATCGACAACCAAAACTGAGCCCTGACACTTACCGTTCGAGTGGACTAGTTAGGCTGAAGGTGCTCGTGCACCCTCTGTAGTTAGCTAGGCACAAGTCTTGGCTTGGCAACGCTTGTCCTGATATGTGCGTCAAAGTTACTATGATAAACACGTTCTCATTTGGCCTGCTATCTGTATGAGATATGTGTGGTATATACCTACATTTCCTTCGAACACCCCAAATCTTGAGATTTCTTACTAGAAAATCATTTACAATTTGATCTTATGTGATTTTGGTCTGTAGAAAACTTCAAGGTGAACGTCCAGCTGCTTAAAAAGATCATTTGATGCCATTATGAATTTGAAGAAATCCCAATGATGACAAATGCATAGGGGGCTAAAAACGTTTCACGAGGATGAAGCACATGACATAAATTTCACAATTCCATGACGAAACTACATTACACCTAGATCGGAAAAAAACAAAACAACCTGGGATATTCAGTGGAAATTAGCTCAAAGCGTTAGAAAGTGGGAGTCGGTTACAAAACTGACCCTTTACACTTGCGAAATACGTATCAAAATAGATGAAATATATAGGGGCTTTATTATTGGGTCCCAGTTACTGTGCTACGGTAAAAAACTAAGAAATGGAGGTTTCTGGTACATTAAGCATGCCGTTTAGAAAGGGACTGAAATTTTCCGCTTAAATCATAAAACACTCAATACCCAGTTAGTCGCTTTTCGAAAATCGAATCACATATCAAAATAATTATTCAAATTACTGACAGACAACTCGTAATATTGTTGAAAACTAAGGATGTTTTAAACCTTTGTTTTCCAAAGCCCGGCAGATGGCAAGCGAGGCAAGAAGCCTAGTCAGAAACACAGAAAAGGCATTTATCACTTAATATGTAAAGGAAGCCTCACAAATCATAAAGAAGACATCACCTTACAGTTCAAAAATGACGATCGAATTGCTTACATCTGGAAGTTCATCTATGGAATCGCACTATGAAAGGAAAGTTTCACATCAGCACTTGCGGATTCACCCAGTGCAAGATCAGAATTCCAATCCACGGCAAATCGGAATAGCTAATGAATATTTAAGTTTTGCCATCCTTAATAATTTTTAAACTGATCGTGTTAACTGCAACTGCATTAACGGAACTAATCTATTTTGAATAATATGGGATTGTCAATGCTTTTTCAGAGATATGCGAATGAGGTCATAAGTGTAAGTGTGGAAATAGAAGGCACTTAGTTTTTCAGCAAATGAATATGGATATATGGATTGTTTTATTGCTCTGTAGTACCTGTCCTTGTGATTAAGCGCTACATTCACCTGGAGTGCTGTTTGATTCGCTCGGAAGGATGTACGGACCATCTGGCGTGCCTGGTATGTGTGTTATTTTCGTTAACAAGCTCCATATATTGCTTAGAAGGCATTATAGAGCTGACAAACAGTGCTCTATCTATAATAAATGTGGAACCCTATATCAAGACAGTCGAAGACATAACACCGTCTTTTGTTCTCGATCTTGCAGTTGTTCTGTTTGGCAGTGATATTCGTAAGTTTAGAGTGAACTAAATCTATAGCTTTTAGTACCTTACCCTGACATCGTGGAGCCTTACCAGGTTGAAAACTTCGACGCCATTTTATCAAAATTATCACACGAAATTGGAGAGGACCTTGATCATATCAAACCAGAAGAGCTAATGGTTGGAGAACCCCAAGCATTGTATGACTACCTTATCCTTCTTGCTGCATTTATTTCATACTGTCATGAGAGGGGCTTACTAAAGTTCCCGATTTCCAGCTTTGAGTCTCACTCTTTTGATTCTATTGCCCTTTCACCTAACGACCCTAAATTGAATTCACAACCAAAAGAATATCTTGGTAAGTTAAAGGGTTATTTTGTTTGTGAATCTGATAAGGTTAAATCATCTGTTGCGCTTGGGTTTATTTTTGGTTAGGCTTACATATCTTTGAAAATCCAAGCTGGTCTCGTGAATTTCGAAGAATAAGATTTTCGAGGATGGACTATATGTTTGAATTTAAAGTACTACTTGTCAATGGTTGTAGCTACTGTAGCTAATCACGCAGCAAAACACCAGGAAAGCAATGATTAAGATTTCAATATTGCCGTTCAATCTTTTTTGGAGGAATCAGTATATTTTTCCTGGTGTTTTGAATATTTGGTTGGTAATGAATCATAAAGCTGATGTAGTATAAAGTCAGATAGCATGTAAAACGTATTGTCTATTACATTGGCTGTAATCTAACTCCAGCTTAAGTCAGTAGGTTCGATGTGGTTTAGCTTTAGTCCATGCAACTAACCTTTATCTAATCCTCCTGAAGAGGTATGAACTGCCTGACTAGAACCTTAGATATGCCAAAACAATCAATAATTGGACACTGAAATGACTCCAAGTTGTTAACGACAGTACAAGTGTTACTAACGCCAGATTCTAAGTGTTTTGGGCAAAGACGGAAAATCAATCGAAGAGGCTATAAAGTTACATAGATTGAGATGGCTAGGTCACTTGCTGCGCATGCCTAACCATCGCCTCCCCCACTCCGACGGGCATTACTAGCTGATATAGGTACAGGCTGGAAAAGAGTAAGTGGTGGCCAAACAAAAACATGGCCTCATCAATCCATGAAATCCTTGACAGTTAAACTGAGTCAGGTAGGGAGATGCAGACTTCCAGGTTAAAGCCTTCGGGACTCTAAGAATCAGTGGCTGGAGACAATAGGTGACATGGCTCCAAATCGTTGTCAATGGCTTACGCAGATGTATTCAGTCTCTGTAATCTTTTATATTCCTTTCTACCATTACTCATTCTGCTTAACTCTTATACTTGTCAAGACTCTATTGATTCCCTTCACTCATTTTCTTGTCTAGCTTTGTGTGCTATTTGGAAAGTGGCAACTCGAACTGCTGCACTTCGATGCCAAGTTCTTTGTTGAATCCAGACAGACAAAAGTGTTTTCAAATGATTTTCTCTCTCCCACGCGCATATCCTCATCCACTAATGTCCCACTCAATATTTTTCTGTCAGCACTAGTGAGTAAACCTCGAAATATATTAAGCTGTGGATTGTTGCTTAAAAAACTAATCGAAAAGACCTCACCTAACTACAGCTTCGTTGCTAGTATTCATTGCTGTGTTCTTCAGATCATAGAAATAAATGTCATCCCTGAGAATTAGAGAAACGTTACAGGTGTGAACTTGTGGCTCTACAATGCTTTGTGATAAGGTATGAGTGTGAATGTATCAGTATTAGTATCTACCTTCTGTTGTCTGAAATAGGCAATTGGTTTCTTTTTCGAAAATTTTCGTAGTGGTATCGGCTTATGGAAATGTGAGGAGAATTTTACTGTTTGAACACTGACTGATTGACTCGTTTCAACATAGAACTTTGGACAGATGTGCACCAGTTCGAGTTGTCACACTCCCACCACCATGTAGCACACAAGCAAGAGAAAAGAGTGAAGAGAGATTCAAAAGACAGATAATAAACAAGTGTGTGGGAAAAAGAATAGTAATATGGAGGAAGAAGAAGAAGAATGGGGTATTATTGGATATGATAAATCGCGAAGAGTGAGTGCATCTTCACCAGCCATTTACAACGATTTTGAGCCATGTCACCAACTGTCTCCAGCAACTGGTTTTTACCATCCTGAGCATCCCAACCAGTCAGGAAGTCTACACCTCCATACGTGACTGGCTGGCTTAAACTAATTGTTGTGGATTTCATTTCATGTGCAACCCATTTCCTAACCATCTCTGTCAATCGATATAACTTCACAACCTCGTCGATTGATTTCCCCTTCCACTTACCTAGCACTTGACCTACGCCTCATCTCAATATTACTCGCCATATTATACCACCTGACACGGAAGAGAGAACTAAGCACCTAGCCTTTTGATGTCTCCCACTTTCAGTGACCATGTCTCAACCATAAATGAGGACGGAGCAAAGTGACTGCTGAGCAGTACATACGCCCTTCGGTTGACAGACGGATATCACGTGTAAGCTAGGGATGGCGTAAGTTGACAGACAACTGCCAAACGAGCCTTCTGTATCCACGATGAGATTCCGTCAGCAATCAACCTGTTGCCATTGGCTGGCTGATGCAACTTTCCAAATAAATGAAGTGGTCAATTCGCTCTACCACTTCGTTCCCTATCTTTAAGCTAGGAGTCAATGTAGTTCAGTCCTGCAGCACCACCTTAAATTTGACAGCAGGAGAGAATCTCAAGCAAAACGCGCGAAGATTGCCGCCCCTCAAGGTTTTCAGAAGACTTCACACTTTGTTTGAAGATATTTTATTCTGACTAATGCAGGTATGTAATTACTAGCTGAGAAGTTTTCATGTGAGATAAAGCCAGTTGTTGATACATTCAAAGACCGTTCATTGTTGCCAGTGTTTTTAAACTTTTCTATGGAATAATTGAAGTAGATGGACTTCGAATTTATAAATGATTGTTTTGGTATCTAAGTAAATGCATTACCCAATTGGCAAATAAATTGACAAGACCCAGTTTTTAAGTAAATGTAATGGTAATGCACAGTAGCAGTAAGTAATGACAACTAAACAAGTAGGGATATTGGCTTCTAGTAACAGCAGACTATTGTAAGACCCTGCTATATGTTACTATAGTTGGAGATGAATTATCCAGTTACGAGAAAAGATAGTAGAAAATTAATGTCAGTATTCTATGGAATAGTTACTCTGTCCTCTTAACACTTGTAGTGCAATGATTCAGTGCAGATTTATTTATTAATTATTCGTATTTTATGTTGAGCAAAATCCTAATATCTCATTGCAAAAGACTAGTGAACTTAGGACATGTTACAAAAGTGATTAGGAATAAAAGCTCTTGAGAATCTTATGCTTTCAAAAATAGACAGTTGCCTTTTTTCGGTTGTAATTTCAAAGTAAGATGCAAGCCTATGCATAATTTTGAGTAGTTCAAATCACCTCTACATCTTAAAAATTTCTATATGTGTTACTCAATAAGTACTTGCAGCTGTATGCAGTTAGCAGTTAGTCACACATTGTGTGAGGGCTAGTCATACTATCTAGCTGCCCAAACCTTTGTAGGTGGAGCAGGGTTCAAACCTATGACCTAGTGGTTGGAACATGAAAGCCTAGACCAATGATGTGTGACTCCACCTTCTACTTCTTATGGGCCATAGGTTTAAAAACGATGTGTTGGTTGTTACTGTTTCTGTCGACGAGAACTCATCTCTGTCCAATGCAATAGTGAATAAAGTTACCTGTTTACATCCTATAATTAATGAAATTGTAAAATTCCTTGACTGTTGTTTGTCATCGCATATTACTATTCTTTTTCCATGACCCACACTTCCGTGTATTATCTGTCTCTTTTGGATCTCTCTTCACCCTCTCCTCTTGCTTGTGTGCTAAATTGAGTGTGACAACTCGAAATAGTGCACGTCTGTGTAAAGTTGTACATCGAAACCAGTCAGATCTGTAGAAGCTGCTAAGTTGTCACCAGAGGCAGAATTAAGGTCATGTCCTACGTAACGAAGGTATTTATTGATGGCCTATACATCTTCATCATGGAAAATGTTTTTGTCACGACTGCAGTTCAGAGACCGAGAGAATTATTCCATAGCCTCAAATTACCCTGTGTATTTGTAATGGACAGCGGAACATGGTTCACATCATGTAATTCCTGGAATTCATTAAAGACCATTAACATCCAACACTTTTAGTTTCTTTCATGTGATCAGTCGAATAGTCAAGCAGAACAGTTCGTTGACATGCTCAAAAATAGCCATTGCATAAGGAAAGGATAGAAGAAGTGCTACAAACAATTATTTTAAGTTATCGATCTACGCCTACCTCACTAACTGCAAATAGATTCTCACATGCCAAAAACAGGAAATACGTGTTATTTGGTGTAGTCCCCCCTCCCCCAGAAACTTGCTATAATCTTAACCAGTAGCTCACTAAATAAGTCACAGAAATGATGTGGTTGCTACATGTAACCCACACCAAGAAATAAGATCTTGCTTTCATATATGTTTCCCTTTTTTATTTTGTGTCACTCGTTCGGTTCTCCAAGTATTCTAATCATCTCGTTTCACCTTCATGTTTTGAGGTAGTTGTTTGGGTTGTAGCAGATTGAATTGTCACACAGCGATATTAAAGTTCTACGCTGAAAATACTTTCCCATCTACTCCTAAATAGAAGACAAGAAAATTTGAGCAAGGAATATGTTTTATTCGATAATTTCCTCTTCCGGTTCTACACAGTATATTGTAGAATAATCGTCATTAACAATATTAGTGTTTTTTAAGTATTATCGATTTGTTAAGATTACAGTGGAATTAACACAGTTCAAGAAGGACGCTAACGTTATTATAAGCATAAAAATGTAATAGTATATAGAATATCAAATAAAATTAAAGAAATTTCTACAACAACAAATTAAGGATCATTAGAATCTTGATGGCCACAGGGGTGGTAAGGACAGTGTCTGAATCAACCAACATGTTTTGGATACATAAGTTAGGCTTCTTAATTAAGGTGGTTTCCAACAGCCAACCTCAGCTATATGTAATTGACGAACTCTTGAGGTAAAATTAAGTTTAGTTGGTAAACGGTAGATGCCTTTGAAAGCTGCTTTATTTACCTCAATTTTGTGTTTTATTTAAACGAGATGAGATAGAATAGAGCTAGCTGTGAATATATTTTGTTTGTCCCTCACTTAGCCACTATGCAGGATACATATATTTGTCTAGCATTGATCCACACCTATTGTATTAGAACTAGCTTTCCAAACCTCAATAAACAGAGAAGGTTTCAAATTTATATATGTCTGTGTGTCTGTTTTCGACATAGAACTTTGCACATAT